CCGCCGCCCGCCCGCCGCCCGCCCCCTCCCGCCACGCCCCCGCCCGCGCCGCCCGCCCGCCGCCCGCACGCACGCCCGCACGCACGCACGCAGCACGCACGCACGCACGCACGCACCACGGCGCCGCCGCCGCTGCGCGCGCGCGCGCGCGCGCGCACAAACGCAAACGTGCAAATGTGCGGAGACACTCGCGCGCGCAGACACTCGCGCTCGCTCACTCGCACGCACACCCAGCTGCAGCGAATAATGCACTGTTGTTGTCCAGTGTTGCTGCTGGGGGGCCAGGAAGGTGAGATGACGGCTTGAACGCGTTCGGCAGTTGTCACGGAACGTTCACCGACAGATCTGGGCTCTAAATGGAGCTTAGGGATCCACCAGCCTCCTTGGGCCGCGGAACTGCGGGCTGGGGCGCCACGAGGTCCTTGTCCCGGTGGGGGACGACGAATGGCAACACCGAGGAGGATCTCCAGACCGCCAAGATGGTGTGGGAAGTGCCGGCTGCAGAGCCCAGACTTTGGGGGCAAGTTCGATGACTTCGTCCAGTTGATCGACTTAGCAGATTGGTTGACACAGTTATGCTGACCGCAAACTAGGACGAAGGCAGGAAGACGGTTAAGGTGACTGGAGCGATGGGCAATGGGGGAACTCGCACGCCCACAAGCAAGTTCCCTCTCTTGATATTGGTCATGGAGGTGGCGTGCTGGCTGGACGTCCTAGACATCGAGCTGGAGTTGGGTCTTGAGGGCGCAAAACACAGAGGCTGACAATCTCACAAATGACCGATTCGAACCCTTCGACCCGAAGCCTCAGGATAACCTGGACTTCGAAAGCCTGCCCCTTCATGGTCATGAAAGATCTGATGGAGGCGGCAGGCAAGCTGGACGAAGCGCTGAAGCACGTCGAAGGAAGCGAAGAAGGCGACCGTGGAAGCCTCGACAGGAGGCGCGCCGACAAAGAGGAGGAAGAGGAGGGATGCGCTAGAAGGACCCCTGGTAGGACAACGGTTACGAAACCAGGTTAAGTAGGAATGAGAAGTAAAGAGGGTTAACCTGACCATGGCTAACTAGGGGAAGAATCCATGACCAGTGAACACCTCTTTGAAAAGCAAGGAGGTGGAGTTAGAGCTATCCAGTGAAATGCGCAGGGTAGGACGTGGCTTCGCAAAACGCTGCAGGATGATGTGCGCAATCCCGAAAAGGTCAATGCGGTGTTAGTGCAGTGACGACGGCTTGAACGCGTTCAATAGTTGACATGGAACGTTCACCGACAGGTTTGGGCTCTGAACTCCGTTGTTTGGACCCACCGCCATCCCGAGTACGCCCCCTGCGAAGATCCACGGCCAGTGAACAACTCTCTGACAAGCAAGGAGGTGGAGTTAGAGCTATCCCGTGAAATGCACTGGGTAGGACGTGGTTTCACAAAGCCCTGCAGGATGATCTGTGCAATCCCGAAAAGGTCAATGCGACGTTAGTGCAGTGACAGTTGGATTTACTGTGCTTGCTGAGGCTCTATGTGGGCGTCATTTCTTTTTATGTTCTTCGCCTACACTTTCACTGTGTACATCCCAGAGTCAGAGCTTTGCCTGCAGCCAGTATGGGTGCGGGGACTGGCGTGTAGCTTCGGTGGGCATGCTTTTGCGTGGACATTTGACTATGCGTTGCAATGCAATTCCATTGCATTGATTGCATACCATGGCGAGCAACATGGCATGGTTCCGCAAACATTGCGAGATTCAAAGACTGAGAGATGCAGAGAGAGAGAGAGAGAGAGAGAGAGAGAGAGAGAGAAAAAAAAAGAGAGAGGGAGAGAGACGATGAGTTTGCGAGACGCAGAGGAGATACTGTCGATAGGGTCAGAGAGATGGAAAGGTGAAGATACAGATGCAAAGAGGTAGATTGATAGGTGTTCAGCGAAGCAGAGACATGCAGAACATCGATGTATTGAAGAGTGACGCCACACACACGCAGACTGCCCCACTCAGAAAGAAGAATGAAACGGCACGCGCACAGCACTGCGCGGCTTAAAGCTGCCGATGTCCCCACTTCAGGCGCCACCCTGGGTTGATGTCACGGTGGACTTTATTGGCCGCTTTTGCTGGGCGGGCATCAGCTGGTGGCTTATGGTTTCCATCCTAGGCCCGGGTCCCCATGACCAACAGATAGTGAGCAGGTAGCGTCAAGCAACATTTTGCATCACGCTTGAAGTACAGGCACAACCCTCACGGCTTGCGCCTTCATTTTCGGAAAGGATTTCTGTCTCGGCCATCGAGCACTTGAGCGCGTTTGCAGCTCACAACTTCATGAAGATGTCCATCTAGCAATGCAAGTTAAATCCACAAGTGCAAAACTCTGGAATGCCTGGACATGATGTACAGGGGGTGTGCGGCAAGAGCCCGTTGTGGCTTGTGGTACACGTTGAGATTGGCAGACAGATGCATGAGCAACTGACTGGTTCCCTGCAGCTTGCGCAGCGAGTCGCCCAGCCGGCGCAGGGACAAGGCCAGCGGTGGCAAGCTGTGTAGGATCGCTGTGCAATTTGCAATTTGGGGTTTGCCCCTCGCGGTTCTCCAAATTTCTTGGGAGTCCCAACTACATGGCAGATGCGTTGCATTCAGCTTATGCCAAGTGGTCTTCCGAGCGCGGCCAGTCACAGCTTCACCTGCCAGCCGGCCACCTTCGACGTCTTGCAGGCCTTGGATGGGGAAACGGAGCAAACTCACTGGTTGATCAAGGGGTGTGTGTCCCATTTTAGAGACAATTTTTCAGTTTTGGGGGCGAACCCCCTGTTAATCTAACAAGTTGATTCATCCGGCCAGTACAGCACGCCGAGTTCATGCGAGGCATGCCGACCGCGCGGTTCATTTGGGCAGCAAGATCACCAGGATCAGCCGACCCAGGCGGGGATGGCGTTGACCTGCGGCAGGCTTCGTTGAGAGAGGAGGCCTGGACACGCAGAGAGTCCCTGTAGGACCACGGCGAACAGACGTTGGCAGCACCCCAGCAACAGGCGCAGCTTGGCTGCAGAGGGCTTGTGCTTGCAAGTTCTGCTCTTGGTTCTTCCAGAGAGAAACTGGAGCTCCGGCTTGAGTGGAAACTGTCACAGCCTATTGTTTTCCAGGTAGTAGTTTGCTTAAAACTGTGCTCGGTGCTGTGGCTACTCTGATGATGTTGCAAATGCTGGAAGCGAAGATTGAGATTGTCTCTCCATGTCTCTGTCTCTCTGTCTCTCTGTCTCTCTGTCTCTTCATCTTGGCCTCTCGCAGTCTCTCTCTCTCTCTCTCTCTCTCTCTCTCTCTCTCTCTCTCTCTCTCTCTCTCTCTCTCTCTCTCTCTTTCTTTCCGTCTCTGCCCCGTGCCGAGCTCATCTCACGCATTGTCCTCAGGTCTGAATTGCGGGAGGTGCTGCCCCCGGCATAGCCCAAGGTCATCGATGGGCGAGTCTCTCGCAGGAACCTGTTGAGGACACCTGTGGAAGCCCATCTCTTTGAGCCGCAGGCGTGGCAAGGGGGGACCATTGTACCAAGCCACAGCCACGTGGCTGGATGGGTGGCCTTTCCATGTCCTCAAGGATCCGTATCTGCATGTTTGAGCTGGGAGCACGTTTTTTTGTTGAGTTGCAGAGCGGATTTTGGTTTGAAGTGTTGACGTTCGTTGGAGCGATTTGTTCTGGCCAAAAAGAGCTGTACTCTGTTGCAGGCTGTTTGTTCAGCCTGTCCGGGCTTTCGGGCAACAAGGGGAGGATCCTGCATGACGAGACTTGCGAATCAACGCTTGTTTCACAGCTTTCGTTGGAGAGTAGGTGGCATAGACCGCAGCACGACTTCGCATACTGCAAATCCCTTGACACCTGCTCTTCTTTGTTGCGAGAGCCCAGCTCCAATTCAGTCCACAAGAGAGGCCATCGGCTGCGCAGCAAGTGGCCAGCGGAGCTGCGGGAGCTTCACACCAGAACTAGCACACCAGTTACATCTAGAAGCCATGTGAATGGTAGTTTAAACCATTTTGCTTTGGACTAAAGAACATGTGGCCATGCATGTATTCATTTTAGCCGCGGCTTTAGAGTGATGTGTTTTGCCTCCAATGCCAAAAGGCATCGAAGGCCTTGCTCGGCGTGGAAGCCAAGGTTTCGCGGCGAATAAAAAGCTTCAGGGCGCTTGAGTCGATCTGCATTTGGGCATGGGTCACAAGAGGACCTGGCAAAACCGCAGGTTTTCGTCCTTCGAATGCAACCCATTTTGGGGTTTTGGGCTGGCTTTTGGCGATCGGGCCAAAATCCGAATCGTAGCCCCGAACATCCCATTCAATCCCCACAGGTTCGAAAATCTGGGCGGATTCGCCAATTGTAACCAAAGTGGGAGGAACCAAAACGGTTCGCCCAGGCTGCGCCAGCTGAGCCGCACGAACCTGGGGCCCTGGCGCGAGCTGGGCCGCCGGGCCCGGCGCCCGAGCGGGGAGAGCGGAGAGCGGAGAGCCGCGGCCGGGGAGGCGTGTTGCGGTGGGGAATGACGGAGGCTGGGGTTTGGGAACGAACCGTTTTGGGATGTTTTGGGATTTTCATGAACTTTTTTGGCATGTTTTGGGATGGTTTGGGATTTTCATGAACCGTTTGATGTTTTGGGATGTTTTGGGATTCCCAAGCGATTGTTCCAGGGGTCATTCCATTTCTCATTCCCTGCCTATTGAACCAGCAAGTCTTGGTCAGGTTTTTTCCCTTGAGGCTTTTCATGGCCTGGAGCTGGAGCGTGAAGGCACCTTCGAGCCAGCGCGGGGCCCAGTGAGAAGATCACGTCACTTAGCAATCGTTCATGGCCGCAATTGCTGGGGGCTCTTATGAGATTCCTGCAACCTCGCGACTACTGTCCAGCATGAAGCCAACAGAAGTTGCATGCATAGTCACATTTGCCCCCTCGGTTTGAATTTCAGGAGCTGCTGGCAGAAGAAGACCAGTGCTGCAGGCGCCATGAGAACTTTGTCAGAAAGACAGGTTGGCTGAAGCCAAGAAATTGCAGCCAGAGCATGATTGCCACATGGAGCGCGAAGCCGCAGTAGTTGATGCAGCGTTTTTTTGCGGCGCGACGACCCTGCAAGGCTCAAAATGAGCCGTGTGGACTGGAAAGTGCGCTACTACCACTTTAAGTACAGCGCCAGCAGCCAAGAGAATGTCGAAGATGGTCATTGGCGGCACGGCTGAGCAAAGTTGAGGTGCCCACCTTCTCTTCGCCGTTCAGTGGCAGGGAGGTAACATCTGTGGCACACCCTGATGAGGCAGGTGCACCTCGTCTTGCAGCGTTTGTGGAAAAGTAGATGTGCTTTGATCCAGTCATCCAGTCTGTAATCCCGGCAGGTTGCCTACCTCCGATGCCGGCTTTGTACAGACGTCGTCTCTGAGGGTTGCAGCCAGGGGGTTTACCTGGAGGTTGGGGACTCAGCTAAGAGCGATGAACAGGGGAAGGAAAGCCAGAATGGTGCTGAATAGTCTCACCTGAAAAGGAAGGGGAGAGGAAATACACTCGGTGCACTGGAGGGGGCTGCCAGGCCAAGGGTAGGGAAGAAACAGATCTGCTCCCCCAGACCTGGCGATGCACGAACAATACAGCTAAACCGATACCAAGCGACACTAAACCAAAACTAAACCAACACTAAACCAACAGTATACCACCACTGAAGCCAAACTGACTGAGATTGACCGAGACCCCAAACAGCCTTTTTTTTCCTTAAGAGAACCGTCACCTAACATTTTGAAACACATTTTCAGGACATATGTGCAGGGACACCCCGGATTTGGGAATAAGAAGGGTAGGAAAAGCAGGAACACTTTAGTGCTGAATAGTACAACACAGTACAGTAGATGTACAGAATATTCAAACCTCTCCGTAACCTCATGCTTACACCCTAATCCCTTTGTGGCTGTGTCGTTTTCAGGGGATTTTCAAATGATGGTTTTGCTTTGGGTTTCTTTTTGAACAGGGGGTTTCTTCAAAAAGACACCCATGTTTGTCTGTTTGCTTGCTTCCGCCCACGCTTTGCCGGGGGCAGGGGCTACAGTTACGGCAAGGGTTTGACTAATCCTAAACAGGGACTAATGGACAACCAGTACTAAGCAATGCTACAGCAAACTAGTCCAGTACTGAACTACTACTAAATCAACGCTAAAGAGCAACACTCAAAAATCAATGTTCAACCGCTTTGTGCTATCTCAAACTTTGGAGCTTGGTATTGAATACCAAGCTCCAAAGTTTGAGATAGCACAAAGCAATACCAAGGCAATATCAGCTAGCCAATATTAAACCAATACTAAGCTTCAATACCAGCTGGATGACGTGAGAAGCCCAGTTTTCCGCGCCCCTCATTCTTCTTGTTCTTGTTTATTGACCCCAAACTCGTGTCGTCTTCACGACTTATTTGAGGTTGAAGTAGTGAGCAACTCGGACAATCTGAGCATGGCCGTGGTGGACTTTGAGGCGCACTGGTTCCATCGGAAGAAGCGCGAAACGATGGGTGAGTTTGGGATAGGCGGGCGGCTGCAGTAGCGTCACCTTCAGTCTGAGCCTCGTTGGGAATGATTTTCTTTGAAGCTGGTCGGAGGCAAGCGCTGTTGCGTGCCGGTACTGTAAATGTAAGCCACAAATACCACGCGGTACAGGTGCAGACGTGCCTCACCGTCCTGTCTCTGTCTTCTGGCGTTCATTGGATGGGCAGACACGTTGAGGTCCAGACACAGGCGCGGTGATCCGGGAGCGCAAGGTCAGGGAGGCACCGCGGAAGGCCGGGAAGAACTCGGAAGTTGGTACTGGGGTTGGTCGCCTTGCTGTATGTGCTTGTCTTTTTTTGGGACATCCAATGGCGGTTTTCCTTTTGTTCTCCCTGAAAGCGGGTGTTTTCCCCAAAAAAGATACGCCAGAGCGTGAGGTCGAGGGCGCTTACATCCAGCCCTTGCCCACTGCGGGGGCACCTGGAGCGCTAGCAGCCTCGTCCATGGACAAGGCTTCGTGCGAAATCTGGACAGGTTGCGACGGGCCGTCCATTCCATGGGCTCATGGGTCAGTGCCTCGGAGTGAAGGGCAAGCAGACCACCTGGAACAGAGACCAAAGGATTTATGACCCATCCTGAGCAACCCTCAGACTCGTTTTGGAACTATCCCTAAACCCTGTGCTCAGCCAAAGCCACACCGAGACGCATAGACCATGCCACCGTCAGCACCCCCAACAAATCTGCCCACAAACCATCAATTCCAACACGTAGCGAAGTTCGTGCCAGTTTGTAGCCAGAGGAGCCTCCAGCGCACCCCAGTTGTGGGTTTCCTTTCCTGCGCTCCCTTTCTATGTTCCGCCCCTGAGCGGGGCTTATGCCAGGATTTTGACTCAGATGAAATCGTTTCAGTGCTTCGAGTCGGTTGTTGCCAGATTGGCCATGAGTCTGCGCCCGTACCGAGGTCTCTACCTGTATCAAGACCGCTTAGCGTTTTTCAGGAGGCAGGAGATGGGCGCCTGAAAAAACAGTATTTACTATCCGAGTGTGGGTCCTGCTTTTTCTCCAGTAGTCTCCGGTCAATTTGACATGTCCGTTGTTGGAACCGCCTGTCACCACATTGTCACCGCATGTTGTTCCGGAGCCGGTGGAATCTTCTTGCCATGAGGTGTGAGCTGCCGGGCGCGGAGGCGAGCGCCGGCGACCCCAGCCGTGACGCGATTCGAGGGAGCCGAGGAATTTGCTTAGCGCAGGTCCGGTGTTGCATGTCTCAGGCGGATTTCGGCAGGCGGCAGTGGACCCAGGAGTCTTCCTCACAAAAAACGAAGCGGTCAAGCTGCGCTAAGGACACCGCATGGCGAAAGAGGACACCTGACAGAGACGCCAGTTGGACGAACGAAACCCTGCGATGGGGAGGAGAGCTGGCGGCCTGGGAAACCACTGGCTTCGTCTCTGACCTGAACTGGGCCGAGGCGAGTCTCGGAAAATGGCTGTGGTCAAAACCAATGGGATCCCATTTTGGGCTAGGTGAATTCACCCCCCATTTTAGTCTATTTTAGTGGGGATTGAATCGCAGGTTCACTGGGGCCAAATCAATGCTTGGACATGAAAAGTCTCCGAATGTCCAAACCAGCTGACCCATGGATCCACGTGTTCATTCCCTGGGCAAATTGAGCGGCTTCCCCGAGCCAAATGCCCTGAGGGCCGACGCTTGACGCCTTGCCTTGCCTTCCGCGACGAGGGCGCCTATCGGGTGCGCCCGCCTGGCCAAGGGTTGGAGTTCTGTCAGTCCCTTTTGCCCCTTGCCAAACGAAAACGGACCGCATGGATTCGATCTCCGGGCAGCTGGTTGTGTTGGCGTGCAGTGAGCTTCGCACATTGTTGCCTCGGAGGTGCGAATCGTCCAAATTGGTCCGGGGCCCTGAGATTCAGAAGTCCACGAAGCTTTGAGCGACCTTTCCGAGGTGCAACACCACCAATCGATGTACAGAGAGTGGAGCACTGAGCCAGCAAAGAAAGCGCAATGCTGCAATGCCAGTAAATCTTTGCAGCCAACCTGCAGCATATGACTCGATTTCCTGGAGAGGTTTGGTGGCAACATGTATGCATGCACATATACTATTATGTATATATGTTGCTGTGCGAACTGCAAGAGCAGTGCTGGCTTGAGCAAATGATGCCCGCTGATCAACAAGGCGTGCCGTGCAGGGGAAAGTGACTGCCAGGAACTTGAACTCGAGCGGCGGAGGCGGCCAACAAGGTGGCTGGAATGAGCTTGACTGGGCATGGCTGGGCTTGGGGGTGGGGCTGGAGGGGCTGATGGGGCTAGGGGGTGGCGACAAAGAGCCCATGACGGCTGGGATTGAGGACATGGAGATGCGGATGGCCAGGGCCATAGGTGACTGGCAGAGCTGGCTGGGGGAAGCGGTCATGGCTTGGGCCACATGAGGCTGGCTGGCCCCTCAAAAATACACATACGGGCGTCGTCGCGCACGCAGTCCGCGCAGGTCCGTGGGGCTGTTAGGCCTTACTGTAGAGCAGGTGAACTTGATGGCGGTGCCGGGAACTCCCCAGACTGCACGTGAAGGAGCTGGCCTGACGTGGGCGGTTGGATCATGAAGCGTGCCATCGTTGACGACGGGCGTTGTTTGCCAAGGAGGTCGATGTGTGCTACCAGGCCAAGAGGATCATGAGGCTGATCGGAGAGAAGAAGGCGGTGCTGTGCGGAGAGACGGGCTACCACACAGAGCTGTCGGACCCGCGGCTGCTGGAGGTGCTCCTGGATCTGGGCTGAACAGATCATGATGACCTCAGGTGATCCTCATGGAAGAGCTGGCTCTGGAAAAAAGGCAAGGTAGCCGTTGGGGTGACCTGGGAGTACGAAGAGATGAGGGTGACTGTGACAATGATCGGAGGGATCATCCCCGACTACTCTGGCAGGGAAGACAGAGATGGGAACGATTAGGCGGTGCAGTTGGCCACTGATGGGGCGGGTTGTGTGATTCCCGATCCTCCCGTACTGCTGAGGCGCGGTGGTGGTGTTTTTCGCAGACCGCTGCTGGGCAGCTCGTGAACATCTTTTTGAAGTTGGTTGAGCGAGAGGGGAGCAGTGATACGGGGGTTACCCCCTGATCTGCTGGTAGTGGCTAATGTATAGTATGCGACGTTAAAGTACTTGAGGGACGAATTTGAGTGCGTGAAGCCGTTAGGCTGATGGTGCAACAAAAAGACTCTCGTTACTCACATGGCTACTGATATGAATAAAAACTTGCGTTTCTGATTGCAAATGGTAGTGGCTTGGTGTTTTCATGTGGTCTGTTCCATTGGGCGTTGGTCCACGTTGCCCCGATAATTCGGGAGGATGACCGACGTGAGGGCCCAGCGACGCTCGTCCGAGGTTGCGACAGATCAACTTGAGCCAAATGCCAGCAGTAAGTTGCTTACGCAGCGTCCCGGATGACACTTGCGACATGGCTAATCACACACCCCTCACGAGGAGTCCGTCTTCGACGTCAAAACTGACAGGAATTAAAGCTCACATTCGTCCGCAAACAGAAGGACAAGGCCGCAATAGACATCGGCACCGGGCAGGTTGGTGGGGTTCGCCCGGTTCCTAGTCGGCTCAGGCCGCGGGTACCCATTTTCCTTTTTACTTGGTGTGTTGCTTTCCTGTTGTTGTGGTTTGCTGGTACGTTGGAAACCCTGAACTTTTGGGACTGGAGCTTGGTTGGTTGGGGGCCCTGTTTTGTGGCTTGTTTGACCCTGGCGCAAGGCTCGCGCCCGAATCAATTGTTTTCAGCCGAAAGGAACACTTGTTTCGAAAAAACACCTCAAAGATAACTTCAAGCTGGTGGTTGGCAGCCTGAGGCCATGCACTCAGATTCCAAAGCGTCAGACTGGCGAACCAGCTGGAGCGACTTTGACTGGGAGGCGAGGCGACGCGGCGTGGGGGGGCGATTCTCGACGTGTTTTGGGCACGTTGCATTTATTGGGGTTATGGACATAGCTGCTGACATCTTTTCTGACTGAAATGCGTTAATTTGCTGCGTTTTTTTCTCTGTAGATTCGGCAATTATTTTCATCTAAAGGGGTTTGTAATATACTGGCCTTGATTGGGCTGGAGCTTGTGCCGAGTTGTCATGTGTTTGCTTGCTTACTGATTGAGCCTTTGCATGTTTTAGCGCAAAGGTGTAAGTCACAATTGTCACCTTTTTCAAGTGGACAATTTCACAGCGCTGCTTTCTGGCGCTATGCGTCGGCACTATGCGCCCGTTGGATGGGACTCGCAGGTTGGATCGTCGGACGCACCTCCAGCTTGAGGCGGGCGCGCTGGAAGTCCTTCTTTCGCCTGGGTGAGGAGCTTTTGGAAGATCGGTGTCCTTTTTGGTTTGGTTGAAGAATAGAGGGCAATTCCTGGTTTAGCTGGTGGTTCAATCTACCAGGTCCATCTTCAAGCCGAAAGCTGTTGCACGGGCTGCTTGTGGATGTCACTTGTCCACACTGCACAACATGTCCGCTTCGGCTCAATAGGCTCGCCTCAATGCAAATCGCAGTGAAAGCAAATAGGTGCGTAATAGGAGCGTTGTAGAAAGTCGCTGTTGGAGCTCACATCACAGGGCGCGTGAGACAACCTCACTTGCGCCGGTTTCAACATGGCTACAGCTGCCGCTTTTTTTGCCGCTACCTTAGCAAGAGCCATGGCATTTGCGATGTGTTTGAACTGGAGAGATGACGTTGGGGTGTCAGTATTGGTGACTCTACAGGAAACCATGCCAATTGAACAGAAAGCACAGGCACTGGGACTTCTCCTCAAGTTTTGTTGGGGATGTTTTGTTTTGTAGGTACCCTTTTTTGGGTTGAACTCTCAAGGAGCATTGAGCGGGAACCACCCATTTTATTCCAAAACCAATTGGAGACCGAGACCTTCAGACCTTCCCAGGTGCTCCTGGCTTTGCCAGTGGCGGCCCACTCCCCTTTGGGGAGCAATGGCGAGCGTTTTCGCGGCAACAGCCGTAAGCTTTGGGATTTGGCAGCCCAGGAGCGACTTTGAAGTCTTGTGAGGCTACCCCGTGGTTTGAAAGGAAAGCAAAGGGAAACCAAGCGTTCGTGGAGTTCCCCATTTGCGATACCCAAAGAGCAACAGTGCTGTTTGTGAGAAACCATCCATGAACAATCCAGTTCATGGCTGGTTGCAAGCGATTGCCCAATATCCAAGCCGTGAAGCTCGTTTTAGCATTCCAAAAGTGAGACTGTCGGAAGTGCCGGAGCCTGACTTGCGGTTCTCCGACCCCCAGGAGAACCACATTTGGGGCCGCTGCGATGAGTGGGATGCCAAAGTGAGCGGATGTCACCTGAATTCGCAAAACAAGTGCAGCGATCGCCTCTCTGCCGGTCCTGCAACGTGGAGTGGCGGCAGGTATGAGCGCTGCTTTCGCTCAGTGTACGAATGTGGGGGCATTGCGGTGATGTCACCATCAATCGTCTACTTTCTTGCTGGTGCTCAGCAGGGAATGAGGGAATGACCCCTATAAATCATCCCTTGTGGTTCCTTAAGGGAATCCCCAGGTTCATTCCCTCATTCCCTACTGAACAACAGCAAGCTTTGGCAAGTACTTCACCCTCCAAGCGAGCAGGTTGTTTTTTTGGCAGCCAAGGTATGACCTGGAGATCACGCTGGGCAACCTGACGCCGTCCACGGCGGAACGCGAGGTACACCTGGCTTGGTGGGCGCCCAGAAAGTCCCAGACCAACTGGAACCCCGTGGAGAACTTGCAAGGCGAGGGCCTTAGGAACCTGTTTCATTTTTTTCCTTTTTTTTACATCCGCCCCAGGCTGCGCGGTCTACAGGTCCATGCGCTCCGCTTATCCGGATTTCAATGACCCAGACTTCAACGGTGGCAACCTCAAGGCGGGTGCTCGATGTTCTGAGCCGCGGGTGCTTGATGGACCCGATCTGAAAATGATCTGAAAAGGATCTGAAAAGACTCGTGAGGTGAGCGAGAGCGGCGAGGTGGTCATTCGCATGCAGTCACCGGCAACTTATTTCGTCACCAGCTGGATCTCGGTGCCCCACATCCACCTGCGACTGTGCAGCAATGTGAAGCCCTCAGTGGAACACGTGCGAGCGCTGAGCCGATCGAGTGTGTAAAGATTTCGCTCGCCTGTCACAGGACACCTTTGCGCACACCACGCAAGACGCCATCGTTTTTGCCAAGAACGGGGCTGAGCTCGTCGCCGGAGAGGCTGGGATTTGGATTCGCGGCTTGCGGCTCGCGTTTTCGGGGAAGCTGCTGGACGCTCAGGCAGGCTCAACTCTGCAGATTCGAAACATCCAGAACTTCAGCTACTGGCCAAACCCCGGCTCTGGTAATGTGAGCATGGCACTTAGAGAGGGCAAGGGTGCGGTTCAGGAGATTGTGCTCATTGCATGAAGGGCTCCTTCTCTCTTCGCCGGGCCTGAGGTGATCGCAACATTGTCGGTTTTCTGGTTTGGAAGAAGCAGCAGGACATCATGAACGCTCAGCTCTGTGTGAAGCATTATGCCAATTCTTGACGGCCATGTCACCTGTGGGACTAAACTCCCATCAGGACGGCTCCGTGACGACAACCGCATCGCCGGGCCAGCTGGTGGAGGAAATCATCGATGACGAGATGGCCAACTTCAACTGGGCTCCTTGCCTTGGACTCGTCCATCCGTGACAGCACCTGATCGTTTGGGAGTCCCGAAGCCTTTGGCCCGATGTTGCGGGATGCAAAACCCGCCGAGGATGCCTTGGAGTTCTCGCCGATTTACCAGTGCTTTACTAGCCAACAACTCTTCGACCACTTCACCGCCACCTGTGTGGACCAGTGCAGTGACAGCGCTGAGGTGGCACGTGGCCAATGTGCCTTGGCAGAAAGCTCTGTCATGGGTCTGCCAGCTTTCTTGGTCAAGCGAAGCAGGGGCATCAAGCAAGTTTCTTGTTTCTGAAATCAGCTGTGCGCCAGATTCAAGGAGGCAACCCGAGACGTGAAGCAAGAACTTTCCAGGTGAGATCTTTTCTTTGAGGCCATGGGCTTTCACACCATTTCGACCGAAATGCCGGCGCTCGGCATTCGGCGTTTCGGTCGCATGCCGCACCCATGGAGCCGAAGGCGTGCGCCGCGGCAACAAGCCGGAGGTGCAGGCGGTGGCAACCTGGGATCTGGCAGTGACCTGCAATGAGGCAGGGCGAAATGGCTGTGGCTCAACACACATGGGATCCCATTCTGGGGCAGGTGAATTCACCACCCATTTTAGAACCTATTTTAGAGGGGATTGGGATGTTTAGTGGGTGTCCGGAATTTTGACCCATGGCCAAATGGGTGTGTCTCAAAATTACAAGAGCTAGGGTTACGCAGGTGTTAGTCCTTGCTTCCATTTACCAAGGTGCCATTTTGGTACATCTTTTGGAGCCACAGCCAAGTGGGAGCTGCCATGCCGTTTTGTGCACCTCTGATTGGGCCTTCATGAATCTCAGAGTATCTATCTATGGACTTGGTTTCTAAACAGATCACCTCTTGGGCTTCCTTGAAGCTCACAGGCATGCTGGGCGGAGTGGAAGAACAAGACTCTGCACTACACAAGGCGCGGGACTAGGATTTGGATCCAAATGCTTCCGGACGAGGGGTAGAACATCCCTTCCTGTAAATGCACCGGAGGCTGGCAGTGGCTGACTTGCTGGACATTCCCTTCCAGGAGCGCTGTAGGTAGTGCCTGATGTTAGGCATGTGCGTCTGATCTGTACCAGTGGCAGTAGCTTTCACAGAAGCACTGCACCATGGTATAGAGTACCTCTCTGTCTGAAGAGACATCCTCCTTGCACAGTACCCGAGTTGGACGGGGACGTTGTTCTGCAACACTAAACCACAACCATGAACATTTCGGGTCAAGTGTCTATACACACATGCACACACACGAGCAGCATGACAACAGCTGCAACTGAGCTGGTGACGTGCCACCACCTGAGTAGCCCACAAAATGCTTAAGGTTTGCAAGGGCAGGAGGCGCTCAACTATTCAACGCCGTCACACACACACACACACCCACCACACACCCACCCACCCACCCACCCACCCACCCACCCACCCACCCACCCACCCACCCAC